ATATGCTAGGCCATAAAGTAAGTCTCAACTTCAAAAAAACTGAAATCATACCATGTACCTTTTCTAACAACAATGAAATAAAACTGGAAATTAATAACTTAAGAATCTTCAGAAAATAGGCAACCGCATGGAGACTGTACCACATGCTCCTGAATGACCAGTGGGTCATAGAAAAAACCAAAAGGGAAATCAAATAATTCCTGGAAATGAATGAAGATGACAACCAACAGATCAAACTTTATGGGACACAGCAAAGGCATTCTTAAGAGGGAAGTCCTTAGCAATTAGTGTTTCCATCAAGAAATTGGAAAAGTATCAAATCAATGATCTTACATTGCATCTCCAGGACCTAGAAAAATAACCAGTAACCAAACCAAAAATTAGCAGGAGTAAAGAAATAATTAAAATTAGAAAAGAGATTTTTAAAAATAGAGCCAAAAAAATACAAAAGATAAGTGAAATGAGGAGCAGGTTTTTTGAAAAAATAAAGTTTATACACCATTGGTTCAACTAGCCCAAAAAAGGGGAAAGAGAAAGATTCAAATTAATAAAATCAGAGATGAAAAGATGTTACAACAGATACCACAGAAATAAAAATACATCAAAAATCACTGTAAATAGCTATATGCCAATAAGTTGGAAAACCTAAAAGAAATGGATAGATTTCTTGATATACACAATCTACCAAAATTAAATCATGAAGACATAGAAAACCTAAACAGACTGATAACTAAGATAGAGGCTGAATCAATAAGACTCTCCCAACAAAGAAAAGTCAAGGACCTAAGGCTTCACTGCTGAATTCTACCAAACCTTTAAAGAACTAATTCCATCCCATATGGGTGCCAGTTCAAGTCCCAGCTGCTCCACTTCCAATCCAGCTCCCTGCTAATGTGCCTAAGGAAGCGGCAGAAGATGGCTAAGTACTTTGGTTCTTTGCACCCACAAGGGGGACCTGGGAGAAGCTCCTGGCCCCTGGCTTTGGTCTAGGCCAGCCCAGCCATTGCAGCCATTTGGTGTGTGAGCCAGCAGCTGGAAGAGCTCTCTGTCTCTTTCTCCTTCTTTCTACAATTCTGATTTATAGATAAGTAAATAATTATTTTAAAAAATAAGATAATGAAAGGAAAACTGGCCAGCATTTATTTTAGGATGTTCAATTGCTGACCAACAGAAGTATCAGAACAAAGGGTACAGAGAACAAGAGAAATTATTTTTTGAAATAAAATAAAACTCTACACTGAAAGACCTACAACAACCAGATTAGTTATCACCACAATAACGAGAAACAATTGCCCTCAAGGGGTACTGCCTTGAGGTTTAGAACCTTGTGGTACAGATATCCTAAAAGCTTCCAGGGATGAGAATCCTGTCTCAATATGCATTTATAAAGAGAACACTTAAAACCAAACAGAGATAGTTAATACATAAAAAAGAAAAGATTGAAAATGTTTGTATATTTCTATATGTATACATGTGTAAACTAGCCTGGTTACTTCTTTCTTTTATAATATAAAAATGCCTATAAATGACAGATCTACTGCTCCAAATTTTACAGAATTGTTTTATCCTCTTTTTTCCCATTTCATAGATAGAATTCTCAACTAGGAAGACACTGAATAGTTCATAAAACTCACATTGGATCATCTCCAAATGCCTTGTGTTGCCATGTAGTGCTGCTCCAAGACACTAAAAAAAAACCTTTGTAGATTTTAAGCACACTTGAGGAAGAAGGCAGGGCAATAACTGTAATAAGGCCTACAAATTTAATTCACAGGCAGAGATAAGCTCCACAGAGACAGGAATAGCATTGGCCTGGGACATGTCTTAGTTCTCTAAAACCTTAAATTTCCTTAGCAATAAAATATGTATAATCATGGCATGAGCTCCTTAAAGATGCAGTAACAATTAAGCAAGATACAAGGTCCAACATGAAAAGTACTGCCTGGAAAATAATTATAACTCAATAAATTAAATAAATATAACTCAATAAATTAAATAAATTATAACTAATACTTGTATTATTCATATACATATTGGTGTTATTTAATTCATTAATCTAAATTCTCTCTTAATTCAAGAGAATTTTCATGAATGTTAAATTCAGAGAAGCAAAGCCACAGTACATACGTATGCTATGTATTTTGTAGGCCACAGACAGAAAAAGGGCCCAGCCAGTCTCAGATCCTTTATATGTTTTCTTTATTGCCGACAATCTATATATGAGGTTACCTGTCCAAATGCTGCATATTCAGGATCACACGTGTAATATGATAAAATATAAAAAGCAGCTTTACAAATATTGATAAGATCAGAAATTAACAGAAAATTAGACTCCTGAAAACATTGTTTTTAAGGATAAACTCTGTTTGTCATAGTTTCTCTTTCCTGTGGCCTAGGGACACTCTGTTTTGTCTGAAGCCTGTTTAATGTTTTATTTAATGATCGGGATGTGTTTCCTTGGAAACACACTCTCCAAGAAATGACATTTTTGATACTTGAGACCTCCCCTGTATAGGAAACGGATAACTGGACAAGCACTTCTCTCCTTCCAGACAGTCAAGTTAGTTAAATCCATCAGCTAAAGCATAGACATTAACATCAATACCTCCAGCTGATCAGACATCAGATTTTTGTCCTAGGAAATCATGATAAAACAAATATCCAAATGCTGCTGAAAACATGGGTTTTGTTTCATAAAGCAAATTTTGCATTTTAAGTTTGAAGCTGACACAGTATGGACAGTGGTTAAGACTCACTTCTAAGTTGCCTCTATTAACCCCATGTGCCTCAGTTGTGTGGCACTTAACATAGGACCTGAATAAAAGCAAATCCTCAAGAGATTCTTGTTTTTATCAATGTCATGATTTGCTGCTCATCACGGGGCAGCAGGTCCGATAGAGCTCCTCAGGGCCAGCCTGGAGAGCTCAGGGGCTGAGGGGCATGATGAGTGTCGGCGGCAAAGGAACCACACCAGAGCCGGGAGATCAGTCAACGCCCTGCGTGCAGCCAACCATCAGAAAGGTAAGGCAGGACACGAGCCGGGCACGCCCTCAAGGGCCTATCACAGCCGAGGACACACACTGTCCATGAATACGGAAGTCTCCTGTCAGGCTAGGTACCTCCCCCGGGGGCCATCTTGGATTGTTGGAAACGCTGAGTCACTGGGATGCGGAAATGCGGCAAACTGGAGCAAAGGCTTAGCGGCCTTGTCGAGAGAAGGCTTAGCCACTTTGTTTCCTCTTCTATTGGAGCCCCTCCACAATGATTATCTGGTTAGTATGATTCCATAAATCTATAGCAAAAGGCTTTCTTTTTTGTATTAATTCTCTCCATTTTAAAGGTAACATCATAGGGTTTTTTATTTTCCAAAGGCACATAGTTCATAAGAAAACAAATTATACATTAATTTTACATTGCTTTTCTAAGCCTCAAAATGTTCTTCCCATTGGCAACAATTTAAGTGGCAGAACTGAGATCTGATACCAAAAATTCCAGTTCTACTCTGTAAAACCTCACAGTTGTAAAGTCCTGAAGGATTAGTTGCTAAAATGAAAGTTCTATTCCTTCCTTCTCCCTTTCTACTTTGTTCCCCTCCCTCCCTCCTTTCTACCTTTCTTCCTTCCTTCCCTCCTTCCCTCCCTCCCTCCCTGTGGTGGTTGTCAATCATTTGCGTAAGTTAGAGGAGGGGGAAGAATAACTTTTATTGGCTTCCACAAATGGTTCAAATATCCAGCACATGCACACATTAAAAGATTCTTTTTTTCAGCCACTAATGGCAAAAATCATAACAGGGAACTGTGACTTGCTCTAGGGCAACAATATTTTACAATGTGCAATTGATTGAAGCCCTTCAGTTTCCTCAAATTTGAATAGCAGAAAGAAAAAGAAGAGAGGATTTTATGACAGGTCAAGGGAAAAGGGAACATGTGGTGGCCTGAAGCTAGGCTAAGGGCACATCCCTCAACAGAATAAGAAATTATTCTGACAATCTCAAAAATGTCAGGATGCAATATGATTTGGGTTATTCTATGCTATACTTGAACATGTTCCATTAAATATAGACTCTTTTTATGAAAATCCATATAAGCATTTCCTAACAAATCAGTCTTTATAATATTATAAGCTACTTATTCAATTTTCATTAATAAAACAATTTGTAGACCTTCAGAACCGGAAGATACCTGGAGTTTCATACATTTATTCCTTCAGAGAATTATCTCTGGTTGTGTTTCTTTCATAGAACAGATTCTGTGGCTGAGTAAACAAACTTGGGAGTCTTTTGGTTAAATAAACTTCAGCAACTTTTCCTTTTTTTTTCTTTTTAGTTTATAAACTCCAGAACTCCAAGGGGCCTTTTCACACACACTGAAGTCTGATGTGAATTTCAAAGAGGATGGTGCAGGCTGTCTTATTTTTTCAAGCTTCTGAGACCAGAGAATTATTTTTTTCCTAACAGCATACTTATCAAGTGGTTCTGTTAAACAGTGATTACAGAAAATGCTAATATAATCTAGAGGATTAAACATAGTGCCCTAGAGATCAAATAATGGAGAGATTTTCCTCCAGAACAACAGGCTAATTAGGGAAAGAAGTGGGAGAGGATCTCTCATTCCGGATCCAGGATACTTTCTACTCCACCACTGCAGAGATAACAACCTCTCTCCTGAAATAGAAGGGTAATTGCAGCTAAGGAAACGTGGTGCTTTTGTATTAAGCTAAATCAAGTCATGTGTCAGAATCCACCACTTGATGATAGGAAGGAAAATGTCCTGGATGAAGAGTTAGTGGTTCTTAATAGCAGTCTTCCTAGCGGTTAGGCTGAGTATCTTTATCTCACACTCTAGAAATGGAGGCCACCTTTCTGCATCCATGTCAGAAGGATATTAAAAAGGTAAAATCAAATAATAGGTTTAAAAGTACTTTGGAGGCACAAAATGATATACTAAGGAAATGCATTGTTAATAAACATTATTCCTGTTGTCTTCGTTTTCAGAACTTACATTTGGATTCTAATTTATTTCCTCTTCTAGTCTGTTGTCTCAGGACATTCAGTGAACAGCTGTTCTCACTCCTCAAAGAAAAAAGAATAAACAAATTATCAATGATATTACACCATTTAATCTCACAGCAAGAAAAAAATATGTTAAAAATACAAAATATAGGAACTGGTATTGTGTCATAGTGGTTAACGCCGCTGCCTGTAGTGCTAGCATCCCATATGGATGCCAGTTCGAATCCCAGCAGCTCCACTTCTGATTCAGCTCTCTTCTATGGCCCAGGAAAGCAGTAGAAGATGGACCAAGTCCTTGCAGCCTGCAACCTCATGGGAGACCCAGAAGAAGCTCTTGGCTCCTGGCTTTGGATTGGCCCAGCTCCAGTCATTGCAGCCATTTGAGGAGCGAACCAACAGATGGAAGTCCTCTCTTTCTCTCTCTCTCTGCCTCTGCCTCTCTGTAACTCTGCCTTTCAAATAAATAAATAAATCTTAAAAAAATACAAAATATAGATAATTCATACAAGCATTATTAGAATATAAGGAATCTCTTTTTTAGATTTATTTATTTATTTGAAAGCCATTGTTACAGAGAGAAAGAGAGAGAGTGCTTCCACCCACTGGTTCACTCACCAAATGGCTGTAATGGCTGGGGCTGAGGACAGACCAAAGCCAGGAGCTTCATCCAGGTCTCCCATGTGGGGTATAGCAGCACATTCACTTGGGCTATCCTCTGCTGCCTCTCCAGACACATTGGTAGGGAGCTGGATTGGAAGTGGAGCAGCCAAGACAGAAACCAGCACCCATAAGGACGCCAAAATCACAGGCAGCGGCTTAACCCCACTGCGACACAATTCCAGCCACAGAATATAAGACATTTAGGGTACAAAAATCATTATTTTTCAAACATAATAAAATTCCAAAAGGATTTACCATCACAAGATAGTATATACTTAAAATTTGCAGGTGAGATTTCCCAGCAGAGTAAAATGAGTTTAATGTAAGCCCAAGTTTTACAATATAGGAAACGAATGTGAAAACAAGGCGACGTTTCAGAAACAAGCAACTGGAGAAATGTCCACAGAGGATCCATTCTGCTATTTCTTAGTAATACCATCTTTGTATTGATTCATTCCAATTCAGCAAGTTCTACCCCAAATGTGCCAGAAATTACTTTACCTCCAGGAGATACTTTGGTAAACAAAACAGGCAAGATTCTTATTCTCATGAAGTTTGCATCCACAGGAGCAAAGGGGACAGGCAAAAAAAAATAGATAACTGCAACAAAGCACTTTGAAAACAATACTACAGGCTAAGGAGGTGACGACAGCAAGGGAAGGAAAGGGATTCTGGGTAGGGATTAAAGAATTTAGAAAGGACAGGCAGGGAAGACTCTCTGAGCAAGTACTGGCATTGAGTGGGTACCAGAATGAGAGGAAAGAACTAGAAAGCCAGGCAAAAATGTGAGGGAAAGAGCTGTTGTTACGTGGGAGTCATTCAGTGCCAGAGGAATCACAGGAACAATGCATAACACTCTGTAGGGAGGAAGCAAGACTTCACAGAGAAGAAGGAAGGGCAATGGAAAAGCTTGATGATCAAAGCGATTCTCAGACTGACACTGCGGCTAGGGCAGGGAGTGCAGCCCAGATGACAGCAAAGGTGAGGACCTGGAACTCCACTCGCACAAAGGGCTTCTCCAAAAAGATGCTCAGTTGACAGAAAGGAACTCAGAGACTGGGGACGGAGGGAGTGAAAGCCAGCGGCACGGGGCGAATCGAGTGCCCTTAGTTACTGCAGCCCAGGAGCTGGAGTGTTGCAGGAAAACACCACCCAGGAAGAACAAACGCTGCCTTCCTAATGTAAGAACAGCAGCTGCAGGTGGATAAAATGTGTCTGGTGCAGCGCTGTGCTGCAATGTGAGAGTGCAAGGAACAGAAGGTCTCTGTCTCACCTGCTTGGGCTGCGACAACAAGGCTTCATACACCGGATGGCTTAAACGACAGAAATTCTCTCTCATAGTTCTCCCAACTCCGGGTCTGGTATCAGGCATTGGAGAGGGCTCACTTCTGACGCATAGTAGCTGCCTTTACTCTGTTTTCTCATGTAATGGACACAGAGGGAGAGGGGGAATGGGACATGGGAAGAGAGAGAGAAATGGAGAGAGAGGAGAGAGAACAGGGAGGAGGGAGAGGGAGAGAGAGAAAGGAGAGAGAGAGAGGAGAGGAGGGTGAGAGCTTTCTGATGTCTCTAAGAGAATTTGCCCCATCTGAGTGCTCTGCCCTTGTGACCTCATCTAAGCCTATTATTACCCAAGGTCCCAGCCTCCAAAGTGGCATCATGTTAGCGGCATCTTGGCCTCTCTGAAGAGAAACTAGAACTGCAATACACTTTCTCCCTTCCACTCACCCATCCCTTTAGGCCTTCCCAAGCAGATATCAAAGTCTGGATGTTTTATTTTATCATCAAGGAGGAGCTGTCAATGTCAACCATTCAAGTTTGAGGACACTGTTCGGGCCCCATTTACTAGGGATTTGTAGAAGGGTGTATGAGTCTGCTCAGACTACTACAACAAAACCGCAGAGACTGGGTGGCTTAGACAACAGAGAAGTATTTTCTCAGCAGCTTTGGAGGCTTCCAGCCCAAAAGCAAATTCCCATCAGGGTTGGTTTCTGGTGAGGCTGCTCTTCCTGGCTTAGAGACAACTGCCTTCTTCCTGCGGCTTCACATGGCCTCTTCTCTGTGTGCACATGGAGAGTGAAAAACCTCTGTGTCTCCTCCTCCTCTTCCACACCCCATCAGATCAGGACCCCACCCTTTTCACTTCATTCAATCTTAATTATTTCCCTAAAGGCCTTGTCTCCAAATGTAAATCACATTCAATGTATGTATTCAATATAGGAATTCAGCATATGAAATTGGGGAAGCCCATGATTTAGTCTATAACAAAATTTTAAAAATTAGCAAGAGGGTGTGCCAGACAAATAGTTTCTCCATCTCTTGTATTTTTTTTTTTTGCTTTAGTAGTGTATGTATCCACTAGCCACTGCCACTATTGCTTTATTGCAAAGCTCCTCTGAACATCGTGCCCTAAAACAACTACCCTTCATTCTCACAGCTCTATGAGAGGTTCATTTCACCCGGGTTAGCTCTCACACTGGGAGTGTCCTGCGTGCTGCTTTAGACCTGGCTGTAATAGGTTAGCTCTGTGTCATTCAGTCTTCTTTCTGACCAGCAGGGAAGCCCTGTCTTGTTCTGACAGCAAGAAGTTCAAGCTGTCTGGTCACCCCCAATGGCTTTCGTTGTGTCAGATCTGCCAGCATCCGAGAACTTGGCCAGACAAGTTATTTGCCTACTCCCAGAAATGAAGTAGGGAAACTGCTATAACTACAGAAGTGTGAGAGAAACAGTAAATGATTTTAAATTAGTTAAATCTGTAATTTTATTTATAACTTTTAACTACATTCAAATATTGAGACACAAGATGCTGGTAAAACTTTGGGGTACAAACGGACTAAATAGTGGCTGGCATTATGGCTCTGTGGATTAAGCTGCCACCTGCCACCTCGACATCCACTGAAGAAACCAGTTTGAACTCCAGCTGCTCCACTTCTGATCCTGCTCCCTGCTAATGCGCCTGGGAAAGCAGCAGAAGATGGTTTAAGCACATGGGCCCCTGCCACTCCAGTTGGAGATGGGATGGATGTCCGGGCTCCCAGCCTTGGCCATCTGGGGAGCAAACCAGTGGACAGAAGAATCCCAATCTCTCTCTCTCTCTCTCTCCACAAACACACACATTTCAAATAAATAAATCTTTTTTAAAAAGAAATTGACCAAATAGAACATTAGGTTTACCAGTAATTTGGTTCTATAACTTAGAAATGAAGACTCAATAGGATGCTATTTTAACTAAAATTCTACATTGAAATCAGGGCCCTAGCAAGTGTTAAATTTTATGAATTAATATGCTTACATGGCCCACCACAGTCTTTCCTCCCAATCCATTTTAACTTTTCTTTAAGATAGCCTTAAAAAACAAGTAGTTGCTGTTCACAAGGTATAAAGTTTCAGATATGCAAAAATGCATCAGTTCTAGAGCCCTGCTGTACAGTTTTGTGCTGGGAGTTAAGCATCCGGTATTGGGCGGCTAAGGATGCTCAGAGGGTGCACCTCAGGTCAAGTGTTGTTACCACAATAGAATACAATAAGGCGGTTAGGTTTTAGAAAACAGAAGGATTCGCTGAGATAACATGAAACAGTCCGAAGCTTAATGCCCAACACAAAGTTGGCGCTCCTGAAGTTTTCTTCCTTAACTTTTATCTGCACAAATGTGATTCAAACTGGCTCACACACACCGTGATTTCTTCTTCTGAATGCCTTAGTTTTCAACTTCTCAAGCTGTAAAACTCCTTTCAGATTTTAGAGAGAGATATCTTAATACTGTTGAATTGTGCTGACCCGACCACCTGATCTCCATTTTAATGCCCAGGCAGGAAAATAATCTTAATTTAGTTTGCAAGGTATTGGTTTCCCAGAACCTTGTTTTAAAAGCAGTATAGTTTAAGATCATCCCCAACACAGGAAGGCAAAACTGCAGTCTGTTTATTCTAACAGATGCCATAGACATGTGACACGCACAAGAGGTATACCAAAAGACTTTTGCAAATTCCCACATGCATAAGTGTCACTATTGCATATAGTTTCTCACATCAATCTGTTGAATGTAATGACACATTTGAATAACCCCTGCAGACCCCTAATGAAGGATTCTGTGTACCTGACAACAAGCTGAGAAAAACAGTCACAGTGATGCTGAGACCTAGAGTGACTGACAAAGCTCGCTCATGGTCTCATATTTTTCTCCCTCACACTGATTGAGATCAGATAGGACCAAAACATGGGACTCAACACACTTTACAAGTACTGCATGGTTTCTCATGAGTCACCAACATCACAAATGTTAAATCTGTGAATGGAAAGGGTCTACTCAACCATAAGATCGAGGACTACTGGGAGGTGAAAGATACTTGCTGGAATAGGAAATAAAACAAAGCCCATGAACCCCAACTGGCACAAATGAAGAGACTGCCTACGTTTCATTCCGCCTTTGCATAATCATGTAAGATGGGCAACAACTGGGTACAAACAGGAGCCAATAACCTGAGTAATGAGCTCTGCCCTGAGAAATAACATCCCCATGCCCTCGTTATGCAATGAATATCCATTAGCATATAACCTTCCACTTCCAAGTACACATGGGAAACCTGCCAGTAGGACACTGCATGAAGATGATTAAATCAGCATTACAGAGAGAAAAGCGCAAAAAGAGATCACCTAAGCAATTTAATTACAAGCCTCACATTTACTGGAAGATGGAGTTTGAAATCTCTTATCACTAGCCTTTGTAAGGTGAAATTGCAGACCAGTAGGAGAAAGACAATAGCTTAATAGAAGTTAGGTATACTTATTTATATCCATCTTACAGATGAAAAAAATCATGTTTACAGTCTTTATGTCGGTTGCTCCAAGTTGCATAGCTAGTAAAGCAAAGAGGTGAAATTCTGATCAATGCTCCTAACTGCTGGGTGGTTCTGTAGCAAACTGTTTTGGTAAAAGGCTCAGAATCCAGAACCAAACCACCTTTTCCTGGAATTCCATCTCAACTGTTATACACACTGGCTCTGTGCATCTTTTTCCTCTGCTATAAAATGTATAAAACAATAAGCTTTATATTATAGGATTGTTGTGAAACTAAATGTCATAATTCACATTTGGCACATCAAACAGAGTATGGCAGATCGAAAGCATTCAATCCTTGTCATCATCGTCACTGCCACTTCACAGGATTTACTACTTATAGGAACACCCCAACATTAAAGTGGGAAGGCACTTGTAACAGAATGAGCATTGGCTTGTAATACAGAACATCTGGTATACTTAACTTTTATTAAGTTTATTGCAGTAACATTTAAATGAGGTGAAACATGTAAACCATTTAACACAATGTGTGGAACAAACACTTCAAAACTATTAGCTCTTAATTTTTTAGAAGACTATTTGTCACATACCACTCATTTCTAAGCAATGACTCATTGATTGTAATATTGAGTTCTACAGACACAAACACACACACAGTATACTTCTAAAAATATAAAAATTATGAACTCAAAAATACTAATTCCCAATGGAAAATATAATTTCTGGCATTTTAACATGAAAATGTAGAATCTGGTGTTATATTTAGGACACCCACTATAGAACATATCTAGCCTCCCCTCATCCAATCCACATTTAAAATTTTCTTCTTTTTAGGACTTAGATAACAGGTTATAACACTAGGTAATGACAGGGAATTTGAAGAAACACTGTCCCATAATTTGATAGATTCTCTTAAGAAAATTCTTGGCTGGCACCACGGCTCACTAGGCTAATCCTCCGCCTGCGGTGCCGGCACCCCGGGTTCTAGTCCTGGTCGGGGTGCCAGATTCTGTTCTGGTTGCTCCTCTTCCAGTCCAGCTCTCTGCTATGGCTCGGGAAGGCAGTTGAGGATGGTCCAAGTGCTTGGGCCCTGCACCTGCATGGGAGACCTGGAGGAAATACCAAATGGCCGCTACGGCCCGCACTCTGCGCTGATCCAAAGCCAGGAGCCAGGTATTTCCTCCCAGTCTCCTATGCGGGTGCAGGGCCCAAGCACTTGGGCCATCCTCCACTGCCTTCCCGGGCCACAGCAGAGAGCTAGACTGGAATAGGAGCAACAGGGACAGAACTGGTGCCCCAAACGGGACTAGAACCCGGGGTGCCGGCGCTGCAGGCGGGGGATTAGCCAAGTGTGCCGCGGCACCGGCCTAATATTATACCATTTTATATACAGGACTTGAGTATGCATGGATTTTATAGCACATAGAGGTCCTGCAATCCCCTGTGAATACCAAGGGATGACCACACTGTCTGGGTGCCAGAAGTGTGGGGCTCTGCCTGCCACTGGCTTCACTGTTGTAGTCCTGGTCCTAAGACACACACTTAATCCCATCTTTCCTCCCCAAAGTGAGAGGCATCTCTCTCTACACTGTGCTGTGTGAAGTTGGGGAAGGGAAGATAGGGGCAACTCCTTCCTCGCTGCCTTCCTCAATGTGTCTTTTCTTATTATTATATGAAAACTAGGCACTGTGGCCTCTCACCTAGCTTTCCCAGATCTTGTACAGGTAAACTGGAGCACGAAAAGGTGTTCAAATCGGTGTCTCTGTGGAAATACAGGTGGTGGGGGCTCTCACCCAGCAGTCATCTTGCTTCACTACTTTAGATGTTAACCTGGAAATAAACTCTATTTTTTTGATTTTTGGAATTATTGGTTACAAAAGAGCATGTCACTCCCCCTCTTCGTGGAGGAACGACACAGGACCCTGCGCTGTTCTTTTTGTCTGCTCGGCCCTTCCCGGGTTTGCTGCTGGTTCTTACCGGGTTGGCTACCGACCCTTCCACCTCTGTGGAAGGGCGGTTCCCCCTGCCGCTTTCCCCACTTCTGCGGGGGAGCAGCACACCGCCGGCCGGCTCTCTCGGAGGCTGCACAGGTGTTCCTTCAGATAGATGTTCCCCTTAGATGTTCCTGGTGCATGTTGTCTCTCTCCTCCTTTATAGTCCTCTTCCACCAATCCCAACTCTGCTACCCACAACGCCGAGTACGCTGCTCTCCTCCAATCAGGAGCAGGTCCTACAGTTTATTGGTTGAACTGGAGGCAGCTGTGTAGAAGCTGTTTCTCCCTTCTCAGCGCCATATTGTGGGAGAGCAGATGCATAGAATAAGTCTTAATTCCAGTAACTTAGTCTAGTCCGAGTTGCTCCCCACAGAGCAGATAAAAACCAACTGTTTTGTAGTATGGGGTACAAAAAAAAATTCCCACAACAATCCTGCTATGAGTAAGAACTGAATCTGACAATGAGGATAGTAGTCCTCTTAAATTCTACAACAAAAATAAAAGATACGGCTGCCAGGAGGGAGGGAGAAGGGGAATGAGGAGGAGAGTCTCAGTGAGGAGACTAAAGAGATCCTCCAGATATGCTGTACAACAACGTGCATGCAGTTAGTAGTGTACCATAAACTTAAAACGTTGTTCAGTGTATATCTTTTGTATTTATAACACATATATTCCAAAGGAAATGGCAAACGATAGAAATCAGAATAAAGATCATTATGAGTAGAGGTTATCAGAGAAAAGTTTCAGGAAGCAAACTGGGTTAAGTCCCAGGCCTTTTAAGACACACAGGATTTGGGAGCAGTGTTGTGGTGCAGTGGGTAAAGCCACCGCCTGCAGCACCAACATCCCATTTGGGTACCAGTTTGAGTCCCTGCTATTCCACTTCCTATCCAGCTGTGTGCTGATATGACTGGGAAAGCAGTGGAAGACTGCCCAAGGCCATGGGCCCTGCTACCCATGTGGGAGACCTGGAAGTAGCTCCTGGCTCCTGGCATCAGTCTGCCCAGCCTGGGCCATTGCAGCCATTTGGAGAATGCAAAAGCAGATGGAGGATCTCCCTCTATCTCTCCTCTCTTTCTGTAACTCTGCATTTCAAATAAATAAATAAATATTTTAAAAAGACACATAGGATTTGGGCATTCAGGGATTGTATACAAGTCTGGTTCGGGTTGGGTCTGGCATTGTGGTTTTAGTGGGTTAAGCTGATGCTTGTGATGCCAGTATCTCATATAAGCGTGGATTCAAGTCTGGTTGCTACAATTCTGATCCAGCTCCTTGGTAACACCCATGGGAAAGCAATGATAGAGGACCCAACTGCTTAGGCTGCTGCCACCTACATTGGAGACCTGGTCAGAGTTTCAGGCTCCTGGTTATGGCCTGGCCTGCCCATGGACACTGTAGCTATTTGGGGAGTGAACCAGAAGATAGAAGTGGTCGCTCACTCTCCCTCCCTCTCTTTTTATTTCTCCCTCTCTCTCTAATTCTGCCTTTCAAATAAACAAAATAAATCTTTAGAAAAAAAAAAACACATGTTCTTCGGAGGGGGTCAAGATGGTGGTATAGCAGCAAGGTGTGCCCCCCCCACCCCGCAATCAGAGCTACAGCGGGTGGAGAGCAGCCATCTTGTTTGTTTACATTTGGGCATGAAAGAAGGTGGGCTCTGCTTTCGCCTTCCGAACGTGGGAACTTCAGTGGCGGGGACCACAGCGGTTTGGAGCGATTCCCCACTTGTCGCACAGGGGCCACAGAGATGGGGAGGGGTTGAAAAACAGAAGCCCAGGCACTTTAGGGCAAACAAAGGAACAAGAAAACCGGCCCCAAGGGGCAGAGCTGGGCACCCCAAAGCCTTGGCACCAGCCTACTCAAGTTACCAGAAATAAACAAACGCTAGAAGGTAGAGCTGCCTGCTTACACTGACTATTGGTACAGACCCACAGCAGCCAATAGCAGAGGGAAATCAACCTGAAAATTAAGCCAAACAGAAATGCCAAAGAACAAAAGAAAAATCCTGAATAGGAATATAGAAGAACCTATGAACTCGCCAATAAGAAGAATTTGAAGTCATTCCCAAAAAAGAATTCAGAAAATTTATAATCAGATTACTTAGAAGTAATGAGAAACAGATTCAAGGTCTGAACGAAAAGCACGCCCAAGGATTAGAGATCCTAAAAAGAAGCCAGAATGAAATACTGGAAATGAAAAACTCAATTGACCATATAAAAAACACCGTGGAATCCCTCAGAAATCAAACAGATGAAATAGAAGAGCAAATATTAGAACTTGAAGACAAACTTTCAAAAATAATATAGTCAGATCACACACAGGAAGAAGAAATTAGAAAATTAAAAAATACAAGTGTTGTAATATCCGGATAATAGGAGTCCCTGAGGGTGTGGAAAGAGAGATTGGATTGGAAGGCGTCCTCAATGAAATAATATCAGAAAACTTCCAACAGAGGCAGACTGATAGAAGCAATCAAATTCAACAAATACTCAGGAGCCCCAACAAATTAGACTAGAAGAGAAATTCATTGTGACACATTGTGGCAGCACTCAGCTCAGTGAAACACAAAGAACAAATCCTAAAATGTGCCAGAGAGAAATGACAAATCACATTCAGGGGTAATTTAATCAGATTCACCCCAGACTTCTCATTGCAAACATTACAGGCAAGGAGACAATGGCATGATATATTCCAAGTTTTAAAAGATGAACAATGCCAACCTGGAATACTATACCCTGCAAAGCTATCATTTATGAATGTGGGGGGAAATAAAGATCTTACACGAAAAACAGAAACTGACAGAATTTGTATCCTTGCATCTAACCCTACAACAATGGCTCAAAGACATGCTGCACACAGAAATACAAAAACAAGAACTTCACTACAAAAAAATACGAATGTAGAAAATGACCCAACTAAACTACAAGCAAATCTCAAAATACATAAACAGCTCGTTTAAGGAAACATGACTGGAAAAAGACCATATTTAACAATAGTCACACTGAATGTAAATGGCCTCAACTATACAACCAAGAGACACAGACTAGCTGATTGGATCAAAAAAGAGAATCCATCTATATATATGCTGCCCTCAGGAAATACACCTTATCAGCAAAGATGCACACAGACTGAAAGTGAAAGGATGGAAAAAGATACTCCAACCTAACAGAAATAAAAAAAAAAAGCTGGTGTGGCCATCCTAATATCAGACAAAATAGACTTTAACACAAAAACTATTAAAAGAGACAAAGAAGGGCATTATATAATGATTAAAGGATCAATCCAACATGAAGACATTACTATTATAAATGTATATGCACCTAATTACAAAGCACCTGGCTACTTGAAAGAATTACTAAAGGACTTAAAGGGAGATATAGAATCAAATACAATAATAACAGGTGACTTCAACACCCCCCTTTCACCAATGGAGAGATCAACCAGACAGAAAACCAACAAGGAAACAACAGAGCTAATTGACGCTATAGACCAAATAGACCTAGTAGATATCTTCAGAGCCTTCCACCCACATCCACAGAGTTCACATATTTCTCCCCTGTACATGGAACATACTCTAGGATTGACCATATGCTAAGCTATAAAGGGAGCCTCAACAAATTCAAAAAAATTGAAATTATACCATGCATCTTCTCA